GCCTTGCGCATGGACGAGGGCGGCAGCCGCAGCAGGCGGTGCAGGGAGGTGAACTCGACCTTCCAGATGGCAGGCACAATGAAGTAGAACTGCGCGAGGTACGACAGGCACGGTAGCGCGTTGATGTTGCACGCGCGTGCCGCCAGGCTGGTGGCCATGCCAGCGCGCGCCAGCTCCCAGCATCGGGTCCACCATTTCCCCGCAGCTGCCTTCCAGATGCCGAAGTCCGTGACGCCTGGCCCCAGGTGGGCCCCCAGGTACTTGGCCGTGGAGTCGACGCGGAAGCCCGACCAGCGGGGGACCTCCTTAGCGAGGAAAGACTTGACGCCCTGCAGTGTGTCCTCCGAGAGCTCCTCCCACAGCGGCACCAGCACGCACTTGTGCAGTGCCAGCTGCAGGTTGAAGGCAAACTCAATGGAGACGAAGGTGGAGTCGATGCTGGGGAGGGCGACCGCGTTCTTGATCAGCATCCCGAGGTCGTCGGCGCAAGCCGTGAGGAACCCATGCTCAGCAATCGCAACCAGCAGCGCGCGGATGGGCGTGTCCATGGCCAAGCACCAGACCGTGCCAGAGAGCGGGCATCCTTGCATGATGCCGCACAGGAGCGCGAACAGCGGCTCGAACTCCGCGCTGGTGCCCTCGGCGCGGAAGGAGCTGAAGGCGAGGCAGTTGCTGTAGAGTGCCGCGACCACGTTGCAGAAGCCCAGCGGGGCCCCGTAGCGCGGGAGGACCTTCTCGATGACTTCCCTGAAGAGCGAGGGGAAGGCCTGACGGAAGTCGAACGACAGGAACATGGGGCGGCGGGTCGCCGCGTCAGGAAGAAGGCCCTCCCGACGGCATTCCGCGTCCATGTACGGGATGTGGTCGACGAAGCGCCGCCCAGCAGTGAAGCCCTTCTGCTCGGGTGAGGTAGATGATGTGGCGATGGGCTGGAGCCCGCGATCTGCGCAGGCCGCAATCAGCTTGGCGTCGCAGTTCTTCAGGGAGAGGGTGCGCACCGTGGAGGCCGTGCGCGTGCAGGAGTCGGGGACGTCGTCCTCCCCCGTGCCCTTTGGCACGCAGATGAAGATCGACCAGTTGAGGTCGAGCGGGGCCACGCCGTCGTTGAAGAGGGCTTCCATGAGACCCTGGAGATGCTGCAAGGCTCCAGGGCTGCGGCGCCACGCTGCGTACGACAACTGATCTGGTCCCGCAGCGCTCGGGGGGGGCCCTTCTGGCCGCGCGTTCTAAGTCATGTAGAGCTGGTTGAGGGAGTTCAACCTCGGGCTTCCTTGGCGCGTGCTTGTCCAGGAAAGCGCCCAAGGCCTTGAGCTGTTCAGAGTTCGGCACCTTCGCGAAGATCTCACCCCAGTAGTTCGCTACGGTCGCCTTCATGCCCGCGGGATCGGAGACCACGTGCTGAGCCACCTTCGAGTCCTTGGCGGCACACGGCGCGGAGTCCACGCGCAGGCCCGAAAGGATCATACGTCGCCGCCACGGGACCCAGAGCTGCGCATGCCTGGCGGCCTTGCGCTCAACCCTCCGCCAGGCTGCGCTGTCGCGCACGTTGGCCGTTCGAGCTGCTGCCTCCGCCGCCTGCCTGCGCAGGGAGTGCACCCGCTCGGCGATGGCGTCGAAGTTGGCGGCGAAGCTGTGGGGGTCCACGAGGCGCACCGTGCCGTCGGTAACGTGGAGGTGGGCGGCCAGCACAGGGCAGGACTCGAGCAGCCTGCCTGCCAGGACAGCGTCCTGTCGCCAGACCGCTCTCGCCGCCGACTTGAAGCCCATGTACGAGGTCTCGACCGTGGAGTCCTTGACGTGCAGAGAGAAGTTGGTCCGCAGCTGGTGATCACGAACACGTCGCGCTGCAAGTTTCATGCACTGCTTCGCTGCTCTCCAGCGGCCTTCCGCCGTTTCCCCAGCCAAGGAGCAGTGGTCCAGCATGAGCGTGTAGGTCTCAGGGTACTTCCTGTGGTTGAAGAGGTGCGTCGGGATAGGCTGCTCGTCTCGTGGGACATGGCGTGCGGCGGTGATCTGCAGGACGAGGGGCGCGTGGTCGCTGATGCCCTCCTCGGAAAGCTCCATCGCGTCCCTCGCCGTGGTGAGGATCGTCGAGACCGAGAGCATGGCGTGCGCGTCGATGCCCAAGAAAATGCGGTCGATCGTGGACAGCTGCTTGCTGGACTTGTCGTAGTGGGTCGGCCACTGAGACTCCACCTCCAGAGCTGCAGCGAATAGACGGCGCCACGCAGGTTGCCGAAGTTGGTAACGGTGATCAGGACGGAGGCGCCAAGCTGTGGTGTCTGTGGGTGCTCGTTGACTGACTGGCGGGCGGGCAGCGATGTTGAAGTCACCGACGCCCAGGAAGATGCGGTGTAACGAGTCACAGCGCGCCCACGCCTCGGCTCCACGAGTAACGATGGTCGCCTTAGGCGACTACGGTACGCACTCGGCTCCACGCTTGCGCTCCTTCGACCTTAGACGGCTGGCGCCTGCGGCGCAAGCCGCGGAGTCAAGGAAAAGAGGATGAGGAAGAGGAGTGGGATGGAAGCTCCTGAACAGATCGAACGCCACCACCTGGGAGCTGACAGGAGGAGGAGGAGGACGAGGAGGAGGAGGGCTTCACTCTTCGGAGACAGTCCGCAGTTCCAAGTTCCAACGACGAGGACGAGGATGACTTTGTGCCACCCCGCTGCCGCTCGAAGGGCTCCGCGCTGGAGCCGCGCGGCGGCACCACGCTGGGCGCCAAAGGCCGCGGGCCGCTCCTCGCCCTGTGCTCCCGGGCCCCGCAGGCATCGCCGACCTCCGCCTCCGGTCTTCGAGCAGGAGGAGCTGATGGGCCCCAGACTTGAAAAGTCGTCGAACATCTACGGGCAGGAAATAGAAAGTTCGTGAATCTACCAGCAGTTGTTGCGTATGCTTCGCAGATCCGAAGAGAAAGGAAAACAGCAGCAGCAACAAAAAACTCGGGGGCAGCTCCAGTATGTAGTCGAATCCCTACCCGAAGCCTGAGGGCCTTGCGCTCCTTCCAATGGCTGCACTCCCCCGCTGGATCATATTGCACAGTTTGTCCTTGGCCAACGCCCCGACTTCGAGCGTGCCCTGAATGCACACCTTGTGGATGATGTGGCAGGCCTCGTCGAGCGCATCCTGGACCTGCGTCGTAGCCTCTGCTTTGGTCGCGGGAACCCTCTTGTCGTTCGTCAGATCCCAGCCGCTCCGCTGCGCACGCCCCATGGCCCTCTTGCACTGTTCTCTCGAGAAGATATTGTAAAGGCGGAGGCGCAGCCACCTCTGGTGCCTCTTCTTATATGCCTGCCTGAAAAACTTGTTCCGTCAGCGGCCAGGCGGAGGCGGTCCGAACCAGCGTGCGGCGACTCCAGATAGCCTGCAGCGGTCCGCCTGCGCCCCTGCCAACGCTCCTGCACGAAGGCCTGCCCGAGGCAGAGGAGCGACGTCCCGGCCACGGCGGCCACGGCCGCAGCGCGAACGGGTGCGACCGCCGTCGCGGCGGCGCAGCTCGCTGACCACCCGCTCCCGCCGCACGCGAATCGTGCCAGGATAGCCACGCACGGATGGAAAGGCAGGAGGAAACGGAGGAGGAAAAGGATGAGGAAGAGGAGGAGGAGGAGAAGCAGGCAGACCAGAGTAACGTCCAGGATGCATCTACGATCCTGCAGTCGCCCTCTCGTCCCAGGTCCCCCCTCACAAGCCCCTGCGCGCATTCCTTTTCACTATGGAAAGAGCTGCCTTGAAAGACAAGAGTCCTCTCTACGTTTCTCCCCACGCTCCTCTTGTTTTCCTCCTGTCCCTCCCCGTCCTCATCGCCAAAAGGCGGGTGCCTGGTGCCCTATCCTGACATCAGTGCCTTAGCCTAGTGGGCAGACTGCCGAAAGCATTTTTTACGGGACTGGGCGCATGGCAACCGCCAAGTTATCTTGTGGTGCGGGGCCCCAACTCCCTCGTACCACGTTTGTCAATTGTTCATAGCAGTTGCGGTATTTTGCCCTCCTGCAGGCTGCGTTCAGCTTGGCCCGCAGCATCAATATCAGGTGTCCAGCGGGGCCCGTAGTACCACAGTCCGTGGCATCTCTAGAGAAGGGTCTTCCGTTCACTATAAGCACAACTGGAAGTGCCACACAAACGGAAAAGGTGGCCGCGAGTGGCTTGGCGACGCGGTCCATGCCTCTGCCCTTCCACCGTTTCGAACGGTGCGCCACGACTTCCGTTGCCGTATGGCACATCGTCCACAGCTTCCCTCATCCTCCTCCTCCTCCTCCACGTGATCCTCCTCCTCCTCCTCCTCCCTCCTCCTCCTCCTCCTCCTCCTCCTCCTCCTCCTCCTCCTCCTCCTCCTCCTCCTCGTCCTCCTCCATAATCGTTCCTTTTCCTGACAAATAACTCCTCCCTGTCGCCCCCCCAGACGTGTTGGTAAGGCGGGCCGGGCATTTCGCCTGAGACGTCTTCCCCACTGGTGATCCTCAGGCTTGGGTTTTGCTGCAGCTTCACGGATGGAAGGCGGGCCGTTTCCGAAATGTGACTCTAGTCTTTACGCCGCGCACATTCGTCTTAAACGTGCGCAGCAGTTTCAAGAACGAAGGGCGGGTAGTTGTCAAAACGCCGCTTCCTCCTTCGCGCCGCGCAAAATCGTCTTCAAAGTTCGCTCGAATGTGTCTGATGTAGGGCGGGTGGAATTCTAAATGTAGTTTTCGCCTTAGCGCCGCGCACATTCTTCTTCAAAGGTTGAACGAATGCTTCTGGTTGAGTGCGGGTCGTTTTCAAAGCGTCGCTCTCGCCTCAGCGCCGCGCAAATTCGTCTTAAAAGTTCGCAGTAGCATCAGGGATGGAAGGCGGGTGGTTTTCATGATGTAGGCCTCACCTCAGCGCCACACACATCCGTCTTAAAGTTTGCAACATATTCACGGATGAAGGGCGGCTCTTTTTCAAAATGTGGCTCTCGCCCTAGCGCCACACACTTTTGTCTTAATGGCGCCGCGCCGCGCCGCGCAATTGGCTGTCTGCGTCGGCGCCGCGCCGCGCAGTCTCGCATGGTTGAAGTCCCGGGAATGATGGTCTGGCACGGCTTAGGATTGTCAAGACGCAACAGATACGCTGATTCGATGTGTTGAAGTCCCAGGAACGGCTTTCTGGCACTACTTGAGATTGCCAGGGCGCAGCAAGCACGTTGTTGATTCGCGGCGCTGAAGTCCCATGAAGGGCGTATTGGCACGATTGAGAATTATCAGATGGTTGTCTTCAAGTGGGCACTTCCCGCAATGCAACAATCTTGTAGGGACCGACGAAGAGGGAATTTGGAGGGAGTGCGACTTGCAGCATCGTCAGTGCGTCTTGGATCTACCCAGTCCTCCTCCTTCACAGCCTCCTCCTCCTCCTCCTCCTCCTCCTCCTCCTCCTCCTCCCTCCTCCTTCTCCTCCACCTCCTCCTCCTCCTCCTCCTCCTCCTCCTCCTCCTCCTCCTCATGTTTCCCATTCTGCTACCCCCTCCTCCTCGCCCTCGCCCCGCCTCCCCGTCCTCCCTCCTCCTCCTCGCCACGCCTCCCCCCCCCATTCCTTTCCCCCCCTCCTTCCTCCGGCAGCCGTGCCGCGGGCGCCGGCACGGGGCATGGCCCTCCTGGGCCCGCACCCCGAAATAGTAGCACTGGCCCTGGCAGAACAGCGAGATCTGCGCCGCCGCTGCTCTCGGCGACTCTCCGCGCGAGGGGGGGGAGAGGGGGGGGGATTGCAAGACTCTGCGCTTCCTCGAAGTGACTCTGCGCTTCTTTGAGGGGGCTGGTCACCGCCGGAACAGCCGCCGAAGTGCTGGCCCAGGGTTCGGAGCCCCGGCACGCGGCGCGAGGCGCCCTTTCAAGTCGCCGAGCTGGCCCGGGGACATCGACCCCAGAGGCGGCAGGAGGGGGAGGGGGAGCGGGAGGAGGAAGAGGAGGAGGAGGAGAAGGGGGAGGAGGAGGAAGAGAAGGAGGAAGAGGAGGAGGAGGAGGAGGAGGAGGAGGAGGAGGAGGAGGAGGAGGAGGGGGAGGAGGGAAGGGGGAGGGGAGTTGGAAACAGGAGGATGTAGGGAGGAGCAGGAGGGAGCCGTCTTCCGGGCAATGCCAAGGGGGGTCACCACTAAGGGGATCGTGACACGAGGCCTGTGCGCGAACGAAGGGGAGCCAAAAGGCGCACTGAAAGGGGAAGAAGGAGAAGAAGAGGAGGAAGAAGAAGACTACGAAGAAGAACGGGCAATGAATTCTGGAAGGTGCTATGGCCTCTGCACATAACAACACACACACAGCTCTAGTCATCAACCCCCTCTTGGACGCCCCCGAACAGAAGGTCCGCAGGGCCAGGGTATCCAGATGGCCCACTCTTTTATGGGAGGGTTCCCCCCTTCCGAATCGTATAACCAATCAGAGAACAGGGATGAGCGTGGAGACTAGCACGACCACGAAATGCCTGGGGATCGTATCCCGCTGATATCATTGCGGCCGCCAACGACAGCAATAGAAAGGTGGCTAGCCAACTCGTGCGCCCCTTCCGTATATACCAGATGGCAGGTGCTCGACGGTCTCAAAGCACTACCAGCATCGCAATCGTGGTCAGCGGATACAGCAGTCCGATTGCACCTGCAATGATACCACTGCTGCGTCAACGCCATACCCTACATCATTGTGAATACTCTTTGGTAACAGAATCCATGTGGCCGTCAGTACCAGTGACGACATAACGATCACGATTGCAATCAGGACACAGCCAGTGTGGCGTCACAGCGCTGGACTTGCGGCACAGCACTGCAACGTTACCCCATGGCTTTAAATACATTGCCATCGCAAATATGAACCCCGACAATTCCACAAACATGTTCACCACCCTTGCCAGCATCATCATCATCATCATCATCATTATCATCATCATCATCATCATCATCATCATCATCATCATCATCATCATCATCATCATCATCATCATTATTATCATCAGCATCAGCATCATCATCATCATCAGCATCATCATTATCATCAGCATCAGCATCAGCATCATCATCAGCATCATCATCATCATCATAATTATCATCATCATCATCATCATCATCATCATCATCATCATCATCATCATCATCATCACAGCTACACTCGAAACAGTGACACCATAACGTGGGTCACTAGCTTGAGCCTTCTCCGAAGGCCCAACTCCCCATAGAGATACCCATAACATATAGCATTCCAGGGCGGAAAGCGCAAAAACGCAGCGCATAAGGGAACCCCACCGACGAGAGAGTTGTTCTCAATCGTCGTGCCAACTGCACGCCGCCATCGTTACGACAGGCGTCAGCCAAGCGGGCATCGCCAAAATAATGCGACCATTGCGGGTATCAACATCATCATCATCATCACCGTCATGTCCAGTCTACGCAACCCTTCAACCAAACCAGCAACAACCAAGGTGGTTTAGCAGGCCACTCCCATGCTTGTCCCCTCCTTGAAGATTTTGAAGCTGGCCAGGTTCAGGCTCGGATAAGCGCTCCTTCACCAACGGAGAACACGCCCAAGTGAAGCCAGAGGGGAGATTGCGGAAAGGCCCAAGCACTCGCTTCTAGGCGCATTGCCCTCTCCCTTGCCATACGCATCCTTCTCTTCCTCTTAGTCATGCCTCTCCCCCTGCTCCTCCTTATCATCTTACTACTGCTGCTGCTGCTGTTCCTTCTGCTCATGCCTCTCCTCTTCAACATCCCTCGCGACCTCCTTCTCCTCCTTCTCCTCCTCCTCCTCCTCCTCCTCCTCCTCCTCCTCCTCATGATTAGAAGAATCCCTTTCCGCATCCCCTTTCCCCCTGCTCCAGACACCCTAACTGCGGAAGGCGGCCAACCATCGAAGCCACGCCCAAGGATCCGAGCCCATGCGCGCGATACCGAATAGTGTCGCTCGTGTTTGCCAATTGTTCCATGCAGGGTAGAGGCCATCCAAGTGGTGCATTACATGCATCGCCGCCTCGGCACAGGCCTTCCTGCTTGAATGCTGGCCGCCGTGGGCTGCGCCTCGTTGGCTCGAATGGGCGCGGGCGCCTCTGTCGGAGCTGCCGGCGTGCTCGCCGCGACCGTGGCGCGCCTCCCCGAGCCGAGGCAGAGTGTCGGGCGAGGCGGCCGATTGCCCTCAGAACCCGGCGGGCGCGATAGCGCGCGCCGCGCTGTCCATCCAGGTCTCGACGAGACCGCGGCGACGAGGCGACGAAGTTGGCGACGAAGTTGGCGATGGCGCTCGGACGCAGAAGGACGCCCATGTCATCGACGGGCCTGCAAAGGTGACCCCTCCTGCACGATTGGTCGCGGCGACTCCCCCGACAACCGATGCCTGCCTTGCTGGCGTGAGACAAATGTGAGAGTTGTTTGATGCCACAACAATGTAATTCTTGTGCCAGTGGAGTCTAATGGCCCCTGGATGGACGATTGGATGTTGGCACGCGGCCCAGAAGAAGCAACATGTGGGAGATCCAAAGACACTGTGAGGATGAGGACGGCGAGGAAGAGAAGGAGGGTGAGAAGGTGGAAGGTGAAGACAGGGTGGAGGAGGAGGGTGTGAAGGCCACTGCTGGGAATCTAGCAGGCGGCCCAAAAGCAGCCTCATTTGTGCAGTGAAAGGGTAGAGGGCGTCTGCGGTCCAGCACACAGCAGGGTAGGTGAAGCTCCCTACGATGGGCCAGATTCTCGGCCAGCGAGCCTGGAAGGGGATGGCAGTGGGCCTCGACCCACCGAGATGTTGCAAAAACAGCAGCGTACCTCACAGCTGCGCCAGACACTATGAAAACAAGTTCGCACACCAGTCCGCCCCATGCGCTCGGTCAGACTCGCAGGAATACCCGATGCTGTTTTGCAGACCTGTTCCGTGTCGGGATATTGGTCATTCTCATCCGTATCATCCGTATCATCATCATCATCATCATCATCATCATCATCATCATCATCATCATCATCATCATCATCATCATCATCATCATCATCATCATCATCATCATCATCATCATCATCATCATCATCATCATCATCATCAGCATCATCATCATCATCATCATCATCATCATCATCATCATCATCATCATCATCATCATCATCATCATCATCATAATCATGATCATCATCATCATCATCATCATCATTACCATCACAACCATCATCATCATCATCATCATCATCACCATCATCATCATCATCAGCATCATCAGCATCATCATCAGCAGCAGCATCACATCATCATCATCATCATCGTCAGCAGCAGCAGCATCATTATCCTGGTCCTTCCCATCATCCACAGGAACAAAAAAATACCCTGACGAAAGACCCAACCATATGCAGTTGTGGGCACCGCAATTGTGAATCCATTCTTCGGTGAAGCTCCCTATAGGGCTACGGTAGCACTGGGGCGGTCGGTGGAGCTTCGTATGGTGCCATGAAGCGCTGTACTGGTGGCGGACGCATGCGGGCGGTGCCACTGGGACCTTCGGTGGAGCCCCCTATGGGGCCACGAAACGCTGTACTGGGTGGGTGAAACGCAGGGTGCAAGGGCTGTGCTGGGTGGTGGCGGACGCATGCGGGCGGTGCCACTGGGACCTTCGGTGGAGCTCCCTATGGGCCACGAAACGCTGTACTGGGTGGGCGAAACGCACGGAGCAAGGGCTGTGCTGGGTGGTGGCGGACGCATGCGGGCGGTGCCACTGGGACCTTCGGTGGAGCTCCCTATGGGGCCACGAAACGTTGTACTGCGTGGGTGAAACGCCGGGAGCAAGGGCCGTGTTGGGTGGTGGCGGACGCATGCGGGCGGTGCCACTGGGACCTTCGGTGGAGCTCCCTATGGGGCCGCGAAACATTGTACCGGGTGGGTGAAACGCAGGGAGCAGAGGCTGTGTTGGGTGGTGGCGGACGCATGCGGTCGGTGCCACTGGGACCTTCCGTGGAGCTCCCTATGGGGCCACGAAACGCTGTACTGGGTGGGTGAAACGCAGGGAGCAAGGGCTGTGCTGGGTGGTGGCGGACGCATGCGGGCGGTGCCACTGGGACCTTCGGTGGAGCCCCCTGATCGGGCTACGAAACGCTGTACTGGGTGGGTGAAACGCAGGGAGCAAGGGCTGTGCTGGGTCGTGGCGGACGCGTGCGGGCGGTGCCACTTGGACCTTCGGTGGCGCCCCCTATGGGGCCACGAAACGCTGTACTGGGTGGGCGAAACGCACGGAGCAAGGGCTGTGCTGGGTGGTGGCGGGCGCATGCGGGCGGTGCCACTGGTACTTTCGGTGGAGCTCCCTATGGGGCCACGAAACGCTGTACTGGGTGGGTGAAGCGCAGGGAGCAAGGGCTGTGCTGGGTGGTGGCGGACGCATGCGGGCGGTGGCACTGGGACCTTCGGTGGAGCTCCCTATGGGGCAACGAAACGCAGTGCTGGGTGGGTGAAACGTATGGAAGAGGGAGGAGGGAGGAGGAGGGGGAAGAGGAGGAGAAGAGGAGAGGAATGCGGGGACCGTCTCTTCAAAACGAGGACCCGATACCACAGGATGGTTGGGAAAAACAGCAGCAGCACCAGCAGCAGCAGCAGCAGCAACAACAACAACCAGGTTAAGTCAGTTCGCTCGCAGCTGCTCGCGTGAAGTTCAGCACGTATATCCCAAACCCTTGTACACGCCCTCTTCGTCTTCGATCGTACCCCCCCCTGGGGGGGTTATCTTCCTTACCTGCCGCGTGTAATTGGTGCAGCCCCTAAACTAAGGGAAGAGAGGACGGATGGAAGGAGGAGGGAGAGGGATGGAGCACGGGATTAGGAGGGGGATAGGAGCAGAAAACACGTGGCAGAACCAGACGGACTGATCGGGCGGGTAGGCCCTAACGGGCGGGTCGGAAAGGCGGGCCCAGGCGGCCAGGTCGAGCAGGCGGGTTGCTGATGCGTGAGTACTGCATGGATCGCGGGGAGGTCTCGAGAGATAGAGCGATTCCCGCGAGAATCGCAACAAAAGCAATAGGCCCCATGAGGTTCTGTCGGGGCTCCATACCGGTCCCCTGAGGTTCTGTAGGGATCCCACAGGGGCCCCAGGAGGCCTCGGGTCCAGTTCGGCGTACCCCTCACACGTTTCGTGGCCCCAGTGGGCTTCACCGAAGGATTCGGGTCAATTTCGGCACACCCCTCACGCTTGGTGGCCCCACTGGAGGCTCAGTCGAGGGCCTCGGGTCCAATTCGGCACACCCTTCACACATTTCATGGCCCCAGTAGGTTTCACCGAAAGTTTCGGGCAAATTTCGGCACACCCCTCACACGCCATGTGGCCCCACAAGGGGGGTCCACCGAAGGCCTCGGGTCCAGTTCGGCGCACCCCTCATACACGTTCGTGTTTTTTTACCTACAGCAAAGACTGATAGGTTTCTAGTGGGGTCAAAAGAGAGCGTCCTGATTCCCCAGGGGGGTCTGGGCAGGATCCGGGGGATGCCGGGGAAAACCGGGGACTCCTTTTTAGCCAACAATAACGCACTTCGTGATCTTCGAGTTCCCAGAACTCCATTCCTGGGCATGATTTTGAATGTCCGGAGCCAACTGTAGGCCATTTCGTGTTCTTCGAGTTCCCAGAACTCCATTCCTGGGCATGATTTTTTGAATGCCAGGAGCCAACTGTAGGCCATTTCGTGGTCTTCGAGTTCCCAGAACTCCATTCCTGGGCATGATTTTGAATGTCCGGAGCCAACTGTAGGCCATTTCGTGTTCTTCGAGTTCCCAGAAACTCCATTCCTTGGGCATGATTTTGAATGTCCGGAGCCAACTGTAGAGCAACTTCGTGTGGTCTTCAAGTTCCCGGAGAACTCCATTCCCGAGGCCACATGAATGCCAGGAGCTGTAGGCAATGCTGAGGCAGGCTGAGGCAGGCGGAGGCTGAGACTGAGGCAGGCTGAGACTGAGGCAGGCTGAGGCTGAGGCTGATGCAGGCTGAGGCTGAGGCTGAAGGCAGGCCTGAGGCTGAGGCAGAGGCAGGCTGAGGCTGAGGCTGAGGCAGGCTGAGGCTGAGGCAGGCTGAGGCCTGAGGCTGAGGCTGATGAGGCAGGCTGAGGCTGAGGCAGGCTGAGGCTGAGGCCGAGGCTGAAGGCAGACTGAGGCTGAGGCTGAAGCAGGCTGAGGCTGAGGCTGAGGCAGGCTGAGGCTGAGGCTGAGGCAGGCTGATGCTGAGGCAGGCTGAGGCTGAGGCTGAGGCTGATGCAGGCTGAGGCTGAGGCAGGCTGAGGCTGAGGCCGAGGCTGAAGGCAGACTGAGGCTGAGGCTGAAGCAGGCTGAGGCTGAGGCTGAGGCAGGCTGAGGCTGAGGCTGAGGCAGGCTGATGCTGAGGCAGGCTGAGGCTGAGGCTGAGGCTGATGCAGGCTGAGGCTGAGGCAGGCTGAGGCTGAGGCCGAGGCTGAAGGCAGACTGAGGCTGAGGCTGAAGCAGGCTGAGGCTGAGGCTGAGGCAGGCTGAGGCTGAGGCTGAGGCAGGCTGATGCTGAGGCAGGCTGAGGCTGAGGCTGAGGCT